TGTCATGGAACAGCAGAAGGATATTTTTAATGCATTATGATTTGGTATAATTAAAAAGTGATGATACTGAAAGAATATATTTTAAATACAAGTGCTTGATGGTGAGATTTAATACTGAGAATTCTAATTTAAAAAAAAGCAGTAAAAGAGTCAATTCGACTCAAATTTCTAAAAAACAAAAACTTGTTTTCTGAAGTTTATATATTTTCTGCTTGAGCCCAGGCGGGCAAAATATTAATCTCTTCTTTTTGATGTTGGGGATCAAGGTAGTTTGCCTTAGAAAATGTGCAGAAATTCACTTTCACAGTTTCTCTTTATGAAGCCATTTTTGATAATTTAGTAATTGTGCACAATTTCTTTTTCAGCCCAGACATTCAGAATGTCATTGTGCGTTCGTGCTGGAGTGAGTTGTTTACACTTGGCCTGGCGCAGTGTGCCCACGTGATGGCCCTATCCACCATACTGACGGCCATAGTTAGTCACTTACAGACCAGAGTACAGCAAGGTATAGTTTATATTGTATAGCTACTATATTGACTGCCAATATTTTTTCCAGTATTTTATGGTGAGGGTCTGTACTCTTGGATATAGGGATAAAGGAATGTGAATAACTCTTAGTTTATCTCCTGTAGTGTGAATTTATCACTGATGCATTTCTATATACACACACTGGACCATACAGTAGTGCAGAGGACAACATAAAAGCAGAGTCAGACACAAACACACTCACTCGCATTCTCACATGTGCCCATACACACACACACACACAGCATACATTATTGTCACGAAAAAAAAAAAAAACATTCAGTGGAAGGAGAATTTTTTAACCACTAGTCATTTGAACTTCCAGACAAGCTTGCTGCAGACCACGTGAAGGCAGTCTCAGAACACATCATGAAGCTACAGATGTATGTCCAGGTGTTACAGGGCATGCAGGTGGACGCTGAGGAGTATGCCTATCTCAAGGCACTGGTGCTCTTTAACACAGGTAACACTCCAGCTTGCAATGGGGAGGGGGGGGGGATGGATAAAAGTACAGGATATAATATATGTGAATGGGTGAAGGGAGTAGATGGGTGGGGATGGATAAAAATACAAGATATAATATATGTGAATGGGTGAAGGGAGTAGATGGGTGGAGATGGATAAAAATACAGGATATAATATATCTTGATGGGTGAAGGGAGTAGATGGGTGGAGATGGATAAAAATACAGGATATAATATATCTTGATGGGTGAAGGGAGTAGATGGGTGAAGATGGATAAAAATACAGGATATAATATATCTTGATGGGTGAAGGGAGTAGATGGGTGAAGATGGATAAAAATACAGGATATAATATATCTTGATGGGTGAAGGGAGTAGATGGGTGGGGATGGATAAAAATTCAAGATATAATATATGTGGATGGGTGAAGGGAGTAGATGGGTGAAGATGGATAAAAATACAAGATATAATATATGTGAATGGGTGAAGGGAGTAGATGGGTGGGGATGGATTAATGGGGTGATTTAGGGATCAGTACCACGGTTAGGTTGACTGGGTAGGTAAATTCAGGAAAGATGGGTTAAAAGGCATGAGTAGATGGACAGACAAATAGAATTGGGGGCAGGGACTGAATGAGAGAGTGAGAGAAAGGGAGAAAGCCACTGGGGGTTTCTTAGTGTTAGATTTTGAAAAAACTAAGCATTTGAACAAGAAGGCATCATTGGTGCACTGCATTAGGATACAAAGCTAGTGGAGTGTAATTGATGTAGTTGTGCCACAAGGGCAGCTGTATTGATGATTGCTACATGGCTGTGATAAATTCAATGTTAATTGTTTCACTTGTGACTACTTTTATTCTGTATTTTTATCCCAGTTTGTTACTTTAAAATCCCCCTTGAGGTGCTTGATATTTAAAGTAACCAATATTGGTTTGTAAATTTGTTTTTCTGCCCTGTATTAAACTATCTTTGATCTTGCTAAATTCTTATGTCATTTCTTTGTCCTCTTCCAGACAGTCCCAGTTTGTCTCACCAACAGTTCCGCCAAGTAGAGAAGGTGCAAGAAAAAGTCTACCACGAATTAGAGGCGTACGAAGAGGCCAAGTCCCAATCAAACTCACACAGAGACCGGTACTCCAAGTTATTACTGAGGCTCCCAGCCCTGCGCTCCTTGAGCCCCAGCATCATGGAGGAACTGTTCTTTGCTGGTTTGATCGGTAGTGTACAGATAGATAGTATAATTCCGTACATACTCCGCATGGAGACGACGGAGTACCATGGACCCGGTGTGGCAGCGGCAGCCTCTGTGGCAGCCTCCGTTGGCGTGACGTCCTCCCCCGGACCACAGGAAGTGGTCACTGCAATACCCACGGACGGTCAGCAGCAACATATGTATACAACGTCCACTGGGCAGCAAGTCATGGTCACTGGTGGTCAGCAGTATGCTACAGCTGTTTCTATGGATACATAAGGTGCCATGGTAACAGTTTCTATGGATACCCAAGGTGCCATGGTAACAGTAAGCCTGCTACTTTGGATACTGAAGGGAAACCATAAATGACTTGCCCAGTAACGTGGCTAACTGTAGTTCTGTATACTTGCTACTATAGAGAATGAAAAATATAGATAACTGTCCATTTGCTGTAATGGGCACATCTGAAAGCTTGTTACCATGGAAATGTAAGTTTTGTAATAGTGGATATATATAAGACAATGAAGAAGATAAAACAGACTAATGGCAAATGAATGTCAACCGATTTTTACCATATTGTTGAAACTTTCATTCACAATTCAGAATACAACTGCCTGGTTGTATTTTCACAATTTATGCCATTTGAAAAGATTCGATTATCAAATCATTCATTAGCAAGTTCCAGTATAAAAGAAGCCTAAATGCTTTAATTGATGTGCTAACCTGGCAGTTGCCTGGGATATTTTGAACAGATTGCTTGGCATTGTGAATGCTAATACTTGCTGTAAAAAAAGGGGGTAGTCTAATTTGCATCAAGTTTGCATGATCTTTTATGGAGGCAGTCTTAGCGATCTCTTAAAGCAGAATACAAGGTATTTTATGTTTTGCCCTTGTTTTTGTTAGTTGATTGATTTTTACTATTTATCATAGTACTGGTGAAAAAGAGAATGTTGTATTTAATGCAAGACCCGTGCATGTTTTTTATTGTCAATTCATTTGTGCTGTATAGAGGCCCTAGGCCTAGAAAATTGTGTAGATATTTTTATCGGCAAGTTTTCCTTTTGATTTTTTTAATAATGTATTATCCTAACAAAGTGTATATTAAATGTGCTGTATTATAGTTCCATATTTCTCTAATGCGATTTAGAATAATGGCAGAACAAGGAAAGTTGTCCCTAAGATGCGCAGGGGGACGGGGACCAAGTTGAATAGTAATATTATGATCTATTTCTGATACACTTAGTTTGCCAATTCTCTTATTATTATTATCAGTGGAACAGTATGGAATTGCTTTTGTTCTATAGCACGGTGATTTTTAGAATATATTTTATCATTCATGTTTTGTAACTTTGTCCCCCGTTTCCCTTACTGTGTTTCTACTTAGTAATGCAGATACCAAATAAGTGGGGAGGACAAGATAATGCTTCGGTCGCATTTTCAGCCAAGTTGGGATGGCTTATCTTACAACAGCTTAACTCAGTTTTTTGTATAATTGTGATTTCTTACCATAATACCATACCTGCCGAGTTGGATCTACTTTTATAAGATGATAGTTTCATTGAAAATGTGCCCAGTGAGACAACAGAGGGATTAGATTGGTTTCAAATTCTAAGCTTAGGCAGCGTTTTATTAAGTTAAGTTCTTAAACTCGGCTGTTGATGTTGCTATGGACACTCTTGTTAGGTGCAGGTCATCTTTTAATGTGCCACCAGTTCAAGGTATTTGTAGAATGAGGAATACAATAAATATATAAACTGTATTTTAAGATATGTACACACTAGAATTCATCACTTTTGGTGGCTTATTATTGTGATTTCCTAACCATATCAGTAACTTGGCGTTGGAGCTAGGGCCCGTAGGGGCTTTATTTCAAATACAGTGGCAGCGGAGTTGACATGAAGGAGATCTGATTGCCTCTTTGTGGTTAGAAATTATAACTGTTATACAGTTTCTGGTCCTTTTTATTGCCATCACAGAATCAGATATGTTTATGAAAATTTGTACAAATTAGGTAAGAAGAACCCACTTCAAGATATCCACCCAAACATGACCACTTTCTTTGTAATCATACCTTGGAACTCTCTGAAAAGTAACAAAAACAACCCCCATGCTTGTTATTTTATCAAACCTGTAAGAATTTTACTGAATTGGATTAAATGGCCAGTCATGATTAAGCTTGTAGAATGGAGTCGTTTGTCACTGTGAAAGGGAATATACCATAACTTTTTCTTATTTTGTGTAAAACAGACAGTCCTTTCTGGGTTGTTAGGTGGTTCTTGTTGACAGCATTATACAACTCGGTATATGTTGTTCAAGCAGCAACTGACATTAAACACGACCTATCTCATCAACAATAACTTTGTCCCAAGTTTACTGAATTTTAGTAACCTTTGGTCAGTTTTACAAATAAACTTTAGCATAAAAATTGTTCTCAACTTCAAGACAAAAATGTTGGATTTTCTCTGTGCAGAAGTCCACTTAATAATAGCTATTTTTGGTTTTAAAAACGAGCCAGATCTTTTTTGTTATAAAACGGGACTAAAGGATTAATTAATGGAACTGTACTTGGGTTGAGACAAAAATTTTGGTCTAAAAGTGAGACTGGCCCTTATAAGGTACAAGAAATGTTTTTGTCATTTTTGTGTGGTAGATGATGTCACTTCTTTAAATATTGAATGTGTAAAGAGCTAGCTTCCCCTAGTTGTATCAAGGATTTTTACAGTTACAGGTAATGTAATGCAATTCTCAATTTGTAAGAAATTAATTATATTATAAGATGGTGTATAAACATAGGAGTGTTATCATAAGCATATATATAACATATAATGTTAAGGTTTTGCTTGTCGTCAATTTAATTGCAACTGTCATTTAATGACACTGAATAATGGTAGGATTTTGTATCTTGTAAAAAGAAAATAGAAGAGACCATGATCATGAGTCTGTGTTTCCACCTCAACTGTGTTTTCTCTCTTCAAAAAGTTAAAATTTTGCTTAAAGGAGTCATGATTAAAGGAAGATAGGGTTAAGTTGATTCCTTGGAGTTTCATTTGCGTCTCTCTCACTCTGTTTCTCATTTGGCATGTCTCTGTTTGGCAAAAGAACTTATGGAGTAGAAAGTTAGTCTGAACTTTGAGAATGAAATTGCTGTTTTATTTTTTGCAGGATTTTATCTGAATGCAAAAGTAAGCAATCCTGTACAATTTCATTTTATAAAACTAGACCAATAGCTTCTTTTTAGGCGTACTATTAATGCTTGATCCTAAGCTGGTCAAAACAGTAATTTTTTTTTTTCTTTTTTTTTTTTTTTTTTTTTGCTCTTGAAATTAAAAAAAAAATTGAGCATAGTTCTTATCAAGTAAGGCCCACGAGCATAGATGTTCGATTCAGTTCAGTGTCTCCAGAAAATGACCTTGAAATATTTTTGACTATATAGTAAGAAATTATCAACATCATGTATTTCTTGTCCCTTGGAGCAAAACATTATTGAGGCGGTGCCTTGTGTGGTTTATTTGATGATGACTCTGCCGAAATAGGAAAGATAACAGTGTAATAAATAGTGTTAACAATATCATGCGATAAATGTAAAAAATAAATAAAATCGCAATATGTCAATGGTACAGTGATGCCAAGAGAGAAGCACTTGAAGTGCTCTTTAAATTTATTGCTTATGATACATGCAGGGTGGCAAGTTCACATTTTTGGAGATATTTCTATTTTTCCCTTGAAGAAAAAATAGCAATTTTTTGTGTCATTTCATGTGGATAATAGAAAATACAATAATCTAGAGTTTGTGGATACCTTGAACTGTTTATAGAATTTCTAAATACTTGGGCGTAAGCTATAGTATGCATTATCTGGCTAAAGTGGAACACTTCTTGTTGCAATAAGATTGTGAGGTGCACTACAAGTAAATGAACACAGTTAGTGGACAGTGATGGCTTCAGGGGTGTTTATAGGATATCTTTGCGGTAGAATAATTCCTATTTTTGTTATACTTTAGCAACACAATTTCTATTTTCTCCATTTTTCTGAATTCTTTATTTCCTTCTTTCTGAAGGTCTGTTTTAATTTGACACCCTGCATTTGTTTTTAAGCTGATTTTAAATCTCTTGGATGATGGGTTCTTTGGCATTTTTTGCTTGCATCAATGTAAAATTATTTATTAAGGAAAATCTTTGATTACTGGTTGAATGGCCCTGCTCTGTTTTATTGTTGGAATAATTCATTGGTTTAGAAGGTGTAGTTTGTAACAGAAATAGCTGTTGTAAGGTTCATTTTACATTTGTCTTTGATGGTCAGTGGCTGTTCTGAAGTAAAAAATCTGCATCTATTATGCTAAATATATTAATAGATGATAACTGCTTTTTATGGGAAAATATACTATTACTGTTTTTTATATTTAATTATCATTTTTCATATATTTATTTATTTATTTATTTCATTTCATTTTAAAATTAATTTCCACCAACCAGCTTAATTAATTTTCATCACATTAAAATGTGAAAAGAGAGAGGGTTGGGGTGTTCAAAGACAACTCACACTTTGTGAGCCTGTACTGTATTTACATAGTGTGTTATTTGTGATGCTCGTTTATTAACTGGAGGAAAACAACATTGGTCCCTGATTGTGATAAATGGAGGAAAAGAAAGTCTTATAGATTTATTGTAACGGAATTGGCAGCATCTACATGGAGTAATAATTATTATAATAATAGTGATGAAGATAATTGATATTATGATTATAAACAAATTTGGAACCATATGCAGAGTTCTTTTATCATTGTTGTTTTTTTACAGGTTATATGTTTTTGATTTTTCAATTTTCACTCAAAATTTTATTTTATTTTATTTATAATTTTTTTTATCATTTACTTAATAAGTGAAATTTTTTCTTATTCTAGATACAGAGAAATGCTCTCTTTGGTAAAAGAAGTTCAACAATCAGAATAATTACGATCATTTTCACATAATAAGCAACTACTTTTTGTAGGGCCTAGTATTTCTCAAAAATTTTTGAATTCAATTTGGTTGCCTTATCAGTGCAAAACCACGTTAATTTTATAACTTAACTGGGAAGTTTATTGTTGTAAAAGTTTTGATCAAATTTGAAAATTGGCAAAGATTAATGTCAAGATATTAATAACTAGAGGAACAGATATTTTACCACGTGGTCCAGTGAGATTAAGCTCAAAAGTAATTCGAATTCCAAATTAAGACTCCCAATATGATTTCCTATTAATTAACAAATAAATAGAATTAGAAGGTGAAAAGAATACCATTCAAAAGAAAATTCCAGAAAAAAAAAGATATCAGAATAGACCGGCAAACACAACATCTCTACGTCACGGTGGACCTATTTCATATACATTATCCACTCGACAACACAATCAAAAACGATATCAGCATTTTACAATTAAACACAATTTGTAATGCAGAATAAAGATTAAATAAAAACTGACGGAGAACCAAAAAAACATCAAAAATGTTTTTGAACCTTGATCTATTCCCCGTCATCATAAAAACGTGCCCTTCTCGTTTCACTTCTACAAGGTTCTATAGTTCGTTTTCAAGCAGCTGTGTATAGGGTTTCGATAAACTACTTAACGTGAACATGAAATGTCAAATCTCACCAATACGCTTTATTTCTCAAAGATGGTTTCTTTCCCACATGCATTAAAACTTTTAAGTTATCAAAATTCTCAACATGCGCCCTTTGTAGTAATAAGAGATCTTTGAAGGCAGAGGTTGATTCCATTTTATCATTCATGATTCACAATTCTTGAAAAATTACAATGATAATTGAATTCCACAAAAATTAATTAATCAGCGATGACTGATTGTAATTCACATTTTGGCCAAATACTATGACAATTTATTTTACATGAGAACAGGACAAGGCATTCAAAGGAGTTGGAAACAAAAATCAGAGAAAAACGAAAGCAACAGAGTGATCGGCATAATGTCTTGTGTTATTGGTCCTTTCTTCTGTGCCCACAAGGACTAGTTTGGACAGCAGACTGCCCACATGTCAGTCGGATGGATGTCACACCAGTGGTCATCCGGGCAGCCAGCACATCCTCGACCACAGCAGTAGCCGGAGAGGGGCCCTCTTGGGTCGCCATTACATTTTTGCGTCTTCGACTTTGAGGAGGAAATGACTGAAAGAAAAACGTGTTTTGAATGCAGGTGCTAATGATAAATTTTGATTGGTTTTGTCTCGTTTGTTAGTTTTTTATTTTCATTTATTGAGAGAGAGAGAGAGAGAGAGAGAGAGACCAAAGGAATTCTCATGAAGATGGTGAATACTTTACTTACCGCTACTCGTGACCAGTAAAACTGCCAGCACCAAACAACAGGCTAGTCGCGCGGACACCATCTCGTCTCAAATTATGACTGCCATGATATGAAAAGTAAATCATTATATATACTATATAAATTATGAAATAAGAACACCCATCTCCTGTGTTTACAGCATTCACAAACCCCACAAAGTTTTACAAGAGCAACATATCTTGATTTTGAGACTACCGGGAGTACGACGGTTTGGTTACAGAATGGTGACAGAACGCTCGAGTCATACCAGAGAGGGATCTGTCAGGGTGGCAGTTTTCTATCAAAACAACCTACCAGCACCTAAGTAGTATTTCATGAATTCGAAAACCAGTTTAACAATTCTGAATTGTAAATTCATCTCCATGATATACATAATTATTCATTTTAAAACTGCAACCAAATAGCTGACGTTTTGCATTGATCAAAGGGCATATGGGAATTTTACTAAAAAATATAATTTGTTTACGTACCAAAATGCCCACATGCATACAATACCAATGTAGGTATTTTTCGAGAGAATTATTATTAAAATATAAAGCTATCAGTATTCGAGAGAATATCATCTCGCCTTCGAGTAAGGCTCACTTTTACACACTGGGAAAAAATTGGCAACATGTAAAGATGTGTATCAAACTTACTTATCTAAACCTAAAATTTAAAAACCTTACTTATCTGGACCAAACTGTCCAGTATTTTGAGATGTTCCTAATCAGCGGGGTGACTAAGAGCATACTGTCATATACTGAACATCTATATATAATACTGTCAATACTTGAGGATTTAAGCAACCTTCGTTCCTAGGCTAACTGTATTTACAAAATACTAGCAAAGCCAAGTTTCCTTAGTTCCAATATCGTTTCAGTCGGTAGATTCTAGAAAACTAAATGCAAATTTATGAAAAAAATATCAAGTTACCTTGGTTTCTAGACTTTCTAAGTATCGTTTATATTCTGTGTCAAGTTCACGCGTTTTCCAGCCTTGGTATCTCTAGTACTAGTCTTATAAAAGCCTCTGGCTCTTGGTTAAAGTACCCAGAATTTCAAACAGCGGTCGGTATATATAGGGTTTCTTGGTAAACAATCCAGGTAATAAGAGTAAATTGGATTTATCATTGAAACAATTATCCAGGAAAGGAATCAATCTCACATCCGTTCAAATTCGACAACTTCAGTGGGCACATAGTAATTATGTGGACTCGTAAAGTCAACCATTATAAGTAAATAACATTGTTCTAGATGAAGCATAGGCCTATTCATATTATAAGGATACTTTATGCATTTAAAAGTATGATCATATCAGGCGAAACGCGACAAAACAATGGTACAGTATTTTCCATATCTTGTGTCGTATAGTAAATATATGTGGGACTTATGTCAGATGTATTTTATCTTGGCGGGCGAACACGGCAAAAACATATCATCCTTGTCCCCTCCCCCTTTTCCTGCCCTTTGAAAAATCCCGGAACCCACTTTATAGTAATTAGCTAGATCCCAGGATGTTTACGTGTAAGTGGCCCTTTATCATAATCACAGAGCTAATATCCTATTGCATATAAGGGAAATCATGGGACCTCCTAAATTACAAAACTGATTTGGCGATTAAAAGAGAGAAAGGACAAGACTACTATAGCAAATTTTCTAAATAAGGTGATTTTAAAACACATGTGATAAGCGGCTAATATAAGGAGTCCTATCCACTTACCTGTATCATCTTTAATGTATGTGGTATAACATTGTATTTTTACTACTAGTAGTTACGGAGGCATTAAATGTAAAACATTCCTGTGCTCTATAAAATTATTATTATTTTATTAAAGGGCGCATTCAGCCCCCTCTGCTGAAAAGAGAAAGTTCGTGGTTGGACCAGCAGAATTCTTGGTTCACATTTGGACAAATGGAATGGGCCGTTTCATTTGTCCAAGGTTCATGCAAATACAAATTACACCAGTTAACAAGGGACAGGAAAGTTAAGGGGAAGTCCCCATTTGATATCTCATCATTATTTCATCATAACTTCAAAAAGACTGACCGACGAATTACATCAAAGCCACTTACAAAATTGGCCCTCAAATTAACCACTTATTATCTGACGTTCATCACAATTACACTTTAGCATCGAATGTTTAATTTGAAATTTTAACAAAAGCCAAAAGTCGACTCATCGAAATGATAGACGGTCATCGCATCGCCTACAATACTTGTTTTCAGAGTCATCTAAGGTTTGTAATATAATGAATAAATTTATACGTTGACATCTTACCTGAAAGTCGTATTACGAGTAAAGCGAATAAACTGTTCTACGGGACCAGCCACGTGACTGGAATAGTGCATGTCCTGCGTGTTGAGCTTTTAACAGTTGTTTTGAATCCCAGTGTCCACAAGAGCTCATTCCCACTGAAACTATCGGTCTACGTACATCGATCTAACTCCGCGGGGACTCTAACTCTTTCTGCCAGCGTACTTGTATAATCATCAGCTTTACTTTACTCAACGCCAGTAGGAGGCACGTGAATCTCTTTATCTGATTGCGTTCAGCGAGGGTCCCCGTGAAGTTGGATCGATCTACGTAGACCTATAGTTCCATTGGGAATGGACCCTTAGACGCACCCCGAGTCTCACAATTCACTGGGAATAGCTCATTTTTAGCATGCATTATGGAGGCAATTTCCACTGACTTCAGAAACTCAGGGTTACTGGACTGTGTGAAAGCCAAAAGGCCTAAACGTACGTGTATTTTCTTATTCATCATAGATTACTATTTTTAAAATTATCATTAAGAAAAAAAAAATCAAAACATGGGTGTATGTAAAACAATTTTTATTCAATTCTTATATTTTTTCAATAAAATACAATGCTGCCTATAGAAAGTGTTTGCATTTTAAAAACGATAAATGTGGCTGTAAATGTTAGAAATGAAGAAGTCGACTTAGATTACAGATCGGTTTTATATGGGTACACCATGATGATACAGAGGACATTGTTAAAATTTCCAGGAAAATGTTATTATTAACATTTTTTGTATGGGGCCTTTTTCAAAGTCTACTGCGCATTGTCTATGTCTATTAGCTGCGAAAGACAGTGCCATGTTATCATTATATACCAATAATTTCGGTCACCGAGGGTGTATCACATGAATTGATATGGCCAATGCAGCTGTCATGTTCTCAGCTAGGCACGTTCTCATGAATATGAGGAGAAG